TTGAACCACCAGCCTTCTGGTTAGCAGTCAAGTGCCTTAGCTGCTATGCTACCAGAGCTCCCTCAAATAGCTTTGGTAAATCATATTTCTGACACAGTGATCTTAAGATTTCCTTATGCTCTCTGTAAAAAAATGAAGGATTTTAAATGAAGGATTGGCAAACTTTTTCTTAGATGTCCAGATAATAAATATTTTAGGCTTGTGGGACCAGAAGATTTCAGCAGCAACTACTCAATTTCCCTCCACATTTCTATTAAAATTAAAAAACAAAAATTCATTTCTTACTTGGACTTTTATCTTCCTTCTGCTCTTGCTTCTTCATTTTTAAAAGCATAGTTTCACTAACCAATGTACAGTCCATGTCCACTGTCTCTCCTCCTCCTAATCTTGACTGATTGCTGTTCTGAATAAATAAAACAAACAAAGAAACAAGTAAAATACAAATTCTAACAATTATCCCTTTATGGTCTTATGTTCACTTTTTACATTTAGGAATAGATATAAATTTAAGTTTTATTGTCTGTAAAACATTTTAGCTTCAATATAGAGTATTTCCACTCAAGCCTAGGAAAAAGACTGCTCCCAAAGAAAAAGAAGTTACCTAGCACTGAACTCCCTTTCTTCTCCATATGCCTCATGGTAATGAACATTAATGTACATTAATAACTACAATTTTATTCACTAAATTTGATTTCTTGATGGTATATATTATTCTCCAAAAAACAAAACAAAACAAAACAAAAAAACAAAGTCACTGCCATCGTGTCAATTCTGACTCACAGCAACCTCCACTGGGTTTCTGAGGTAGTAAATCTTTATGGAAGTAGATTGCCCCATCTTCCTTCCACAGAGTGGCTGGTGGGTTTGAACCACCAACTTTCTGGTTAGCAGTCAAATGCCTTAGGCACTGTGCCACCAGAGCTCCTCATTATTATTCTAGCAACTCTTAAATACTCTGTTATTAATATATTACCAAGTGAAAGACAACTTCTCAAACTATATAGAACCTAAATACAAGCCAAAAGAATATTTTTACTATGAATTTTAATTTTTAAAAAATGTAACATATTTTTAAAAACATACAACTGGGAAAATGAATCGTTTCCTTGATGGTACCATTATTTTAAAAGTTAATCAAGACATGATGGATTATTCTGATAACAAATAAAATTATTACAAGTTTATAAATAGAATTTTTTATTATATACAATTGATTAAAGTTTTAGTCAGTTCAGAGTCAGAAAGTGTCATTATCCTTTCAAAAATAGCATAAAATTGGAAGAGTAGCATTTTTATTTCTCAGTTGTTCTGAAGACATAAAAAGAAGTTTAAAAGGTATGCGATTATCTCAAAGTGACAAAACTGATCAGGAGAGAAGACTGTTTAATAACTCACTAGAGTTAATAACCAACTGGGTTTCTGTTTTACTTTTTAACTTACCTTCTTTGTATCTATTACCGTAATATCCATTTTATACTGAGAAAGATCTGCTCCTGGATCTATACTCCACTGGATATTTTCAAAGGATATATCTTAGATAAGGAGGAAAAAATATATAATTAAAAACTGATTTTTGAAATTCTTATCATTTTAAAACACTACAAGACCCACAGAATGGGAGAAATACATGCCAATCTTATATCAGATAAGGGATTTGTATCTAGAATATATAAAGAACTCTTACAACTTGGTAATCAAAAGATGAATATTCCTATTAAAAATGGGGAAAAGATCTGAACAGACAGTTCTCCAAGGAAGATATACAAAATATCAATAGACATCAAAACATCATAATAACCAAAAGGTAGAAACAACTTAAATGTCCATCAACTGATGAATGAATAAAGAAAATGTGGTATATCTATTCAATGGAATGCTATTCAGCAATAAAATGGAATGGAAGTACTAATACACACTACAACATGGATGAAAATTGAAAACACTACACTAAGTTAAAGAAGTCACTAAAGACCAGTGTTAAGGATTGAATTGTATCTCCCCCAAAATATGTACTGTATATCCATCCGAGCTCCTATAACTATGGTTCTAATTCCATTTGGGAATGAGTTTCCTTTGTTACATCAATAAGGCAGTATTAGTATAAACCAAAATTCACTGCTGTTGAGTACTTTCCTACTCGTAGTAACCCCACCTTAGGTTTCCAAGGAGGTATTTCTACAGAAGTAGATTGCCCAATCTTCCTTCCAAGGAGTGGCTGGTGGGTTTGAACCACCAGCTTTCTAGTCAGCAGTCAAATGCCCTAAGCACTATGCCACCAGAGCTCCCAGTATTAGTATGTTGTTGTTGTTGTTATGTGCCGTCAAGTCAGCCCTGACTCATAGCGACCCCTCCTTGGGTTTCCGAGGCAGTATCACTATGGAAGTAAGATTGCCCAACCTTCCTTCCGAGGAGTGGCTGGTGGGTTTGAACCGCCAGCTGTCTGGTTAGCAGGCAAGCGTCTTAGCCACTATGCTACCAGAGCTCCCAGTATTAGTATAGGGTGTATCTAAAATCAATCTCTTTAGATATAAAAGAGCAGATTAAGCAGTCAAGCAAGCAAGCAAGCACAAATGGAGGGGAGGGGAGAATACACGATACATGATCACCAAGGAACCTAGAAGACTTTCCCTCAAAGTGGACAGAGAGAGAAAGAGCATTCCCCTAGAGCCAACGCCCAGAATTTTAACTTTAGTCTCTTATACTGTGAGAAAATACATTTCTGTTCATTAAAGCCATCCACTGTGGTATTTCTGTTTATAGCAGCACTAGATAAGTGAGACAATAAGATTCCATTTATATGAAAAGTCTTGATTAGGCAAATCTACAGAGACTAAAAGTAGATTAGTGGGTCCCAGACACTGGGGATGGGGAGAAGGAAGAGGGGAATGGAAAGGGACTCCTGACAGGTACAGGGTTTCTTTTGAGGGTGATGAAAATGTTCTAAACTTAAGACTCTAGTGATGGTTACACAACTCTATGCGTATGCTTGTTGTTGTTGTTATGTGCTGTCGAGTCACACTGACTCATAGTGACCCCTCCTTGAACCATGGAATTATATACTTTAATGGGTATGCTTTAAAGTATGTAAATTGTATCTCCATTAAAAATGTTTTTCAAAAAGTTAAAAAGTATGATAATGTCTAGAGGTGTTTACAATGTATATGGATTTAATAAACAAAGACTACATGAAGTGTAGGTACAGAACATAAAGTGGTAAAATATTGACTCTAAGTAGATTGTGAAAGGTTGAGACAAATCCCTAGAGCAGTCAGGGGGAAAAATAAAGCTAAAAATAATTTAGAAATCAGAATGAAAGGATGTTTTCATACAGAGACTAAAATCTTTGCTGGAAGGACAACTAAAGAATGTGGTTTAGGACAATAAATGCAGACTAAAGGAATACTTTTCCAATGAAGAATAAAATAATAAAAATACTATATATAAAGTAGAGAAGTAACTGTTGCCTGAAAAAACACAAAGTCTCCTTTCAAACACAGCAAAATTATTAAAAGATTCACATATGCATTAGGGCAAACAATGTTTTCAAACAAGAAGTTTAAAAATTCACATAAATGTATATATGCAAATGCAAAGAAAAAGGACAGGTATCTATGGGATGAGGAACAAGGTTTTGGTGATATTCTACTTTTTTATTCTTTAAGATTCTGTATAATTAAGTTTTCTTAAAGCTTCTGTAGATAATAAGAAATCATTATATAAAATAAACAAATTGTACATAATTACCTATAAAGGTGGGTATTAAAACATCTCAATACATTTTTCAAAAACCACAATGGCAAGAAAATCACAGGTAAAATGAAATAAATGAGAATAGCCCTATAAACACAGAAACATGAAAGAAGAATACTACTCCCAACACACAACAATGCAGTCTACTCAAGGACTATATAGGAGCTCTGGTGGCATAATGCCTAAGGCATTTGACTGCTAACCAGAAGGCTGGCAGTTCAAACCCACAAGCTTCTCCTCAGAAGAAAGATTGTGCAATCTACTTCCCTAGTGATACTGCCTCAGAAACCCAAGGAGGGGTTGCTATGAGTGGGATCTGACTTGATGGCAGTGAGTTTATTTTTTTGGTAAGGACTATAAACAATACTTTATATTACAATACTTAATTTAAAATCATTACCACTGTGGAATATGGTATGGAAACTGCTTAAAAAGCTAGAAACAGAAACGACATTTGATCCAGCAATAGCATTACTATGTATATATTTTAAAGAAGTGAGAGCCAGGACATGTACAGATATATGCACACTCATGTTCATCGCAGCACTAGTCACAAAAGCAAAGAGATGGAAACAACCTAAGTGCCCACCAACAGAAGAATGGATAACCAAACTATGGTACATACACACAATGGAATATTATACAACACTAAAGAATAATGTAGAATCTGCAAAACACTGCATAACATGGATGAACTTGGAGGACATTATGCTGAGTGAAACAAGTCAGTCACAGATGGACAAATATTGTATTAGTTCACTATTGTAAAAAGTCAAGGAAAGGTTTATATATGGAAGGAAGCTTTCTTTGTTGGTTACCAGGGATGGGATGGGAAGGGAGGGGGACACTGCTAGATAGGTAGAGACAAGTACTGATTTGGGTGAAGGAAAGGGCAATGTACCAAATGTGAGTGATCAACACAATGGCACTGAGGAAGAGGAAGTTACAAAGAGATACACAATAGGTACAGACAACAAAGATACACTTTTACATATACGATACTATGTTGTCAGTGATAACAAACATTAATTAATCTATGGGCAAATAAATGGGTAGACAGGATGAATGATCAGGTATGTCTAGGCAAAATATAAATATACTCATGACCATGTATAAGGCTGGCAGATGATATTTCTACATACGTATTTCTTATGTGTTGTAAGAATGTCCAAATACATAATAGAGCTGATAAGGGTCAGAATTGTGGTGACTTTTTGGCGACAGCCAATTACCCTGAGGGAGAGAGATGTTGGACTTGTGGGCTCAGGTTCATAGTTGCAGGAGACATCAAGCTCAATTGGCATAACATAGTACACAAAAACATTGTTCTGCATCCTACTTTGGTGAGTAGTGACTGGGGTCTTAAAAGTTTACAAGTGGCCATCTGGGTGCAAGAGTTGGTCTCTCCTCATGCAAAGCAAAAAAGAATGAGGAAAACCAAAGATGCATGGAAACAATTGGTCCCAGGGACTAGTGGACCATGTGATCCTCTACCCATATGACCATGAGACTGGAAGAGCTGGATGGTGCCTGGCTACCACTGTCAACCACTCAGAAAGGGATCCGTGCAGATCCTGGGTGGAGTGACAGAATAATGTGGAACAAAACTCAAAATCATGGGGAAAAAAAGACCAGGTTTCTGGTCTGATAGAGCCTGGTGAGACCCCAAGACTATGGCCCCTAATTACCCTTCAGGTCTGGAACTGAACTCAATCCTGTGGCTTCCAGCCCAACAGTGGACAGGCATATGAGGTGAATATTTGCATCTGGTGGATACACCCCTTGGGGCGATTGGTCATGTGGGAGCAGAGGGGGAGTGTTTTGTGTCAGGGAGATGGCTCAGGGGGCCATTTTTTCTTTTTTAAACTGTGTTTTTATTTCTTTATTGAGAAAGTAAAGCCGTGAGCTCTGTATATAAATACACTGATGGTCCTGGTCACCTGCAAGGCCTCTGGGATAGGGAGAGGGTTTGAGGGAAAGACAGGGCTCTGGAGTCTCGAGGGGTATGGGGAAGGAAATAAATAATGAATGCCACAGGGGATAAAAGGAGCCAGGAATGGGGGTGTGAGTGGGGAGGTGCTTGATGCCTATTTGTGGCACTAAATGTCCTGTGAGATGCCCCCTGGGTTTGGGGGCTTAAGCCATGAAGTCTCACTGTGACAAAGGCTCCAGACAAGATCAGGTGTGTGGGGGTGGAATGGGTTTCAGCTGGCTGGAGGTAGAGGCACCCTCCATCCACCACAAACAGGCCCTGGCCAGCCTCTGCTGGACATGCCAAGACACAGGCATTCTGCCTCTCCCCTTCTTTTCTCCCCTTCTCACAACCCACACGTGGACTGAGCACCTACTGTGAACCACGAGGTCCTGCTGTGACCTTGTGTTTGCCTCACCCAGCTCTCTTCTTCCCCTAGCTGTGTCCAGTGGACCATGGTGAAGTGGAGGGCTATCTTCCTGCCACCCTGGCCATGTTGCCCCAACCCCTCAGGGAGCCTGACAGTGCCAGGAGGGAGAAGGGACCAGGGCCAAGGCCAGGCAGTGGTGGAGACACTTGGGCCTCAGCCCCTAGAGCATCACATTGAACTTGGTGACCAGAAAGGCAATGTAGTCACATGCCTTGGTTTTGAAGGCCTCGGTGATGATGTGGGTGGCCTCCCAATGTTCTTTGCCCTGAAGCGTCAGCCCATTCACTTCCAGGATCACGTGGCCCACATTGAGCTGCCCGTAGTTGTGGTCTAAGCCACTCGCTGAATTGTGACGATCCTTGGCAGGGGCTGGCAGGTGTTGGCGCCACCGTCGATGGCAATGCCCAGGGTGGCTGCATTCTTCTTCATGTGGATGAGAGTGGACATAGGCTCCAGGAGCCCAGGTGGCTTGGTGGGCCCCTCTGTGGTCCTCTCATTCCAAGGCAACTACTTGCTGCTCCTACTCTTAGTGGACTCTGTCTGCCTGCCTCAGCTTGGCACTCTGGGCTCTGCCTCACTGGCATCCACTCCACTGTCTTCACTGAGGGTCTGCCCACTATCAGACAGCTGAGAGAGTGTGGAGGCACATGTCAGGGGTAGCACCCTCACATTGTTCACATCTGGCTCACTGTCTTGGTGATGCACCTCCACCATGACAAAGTGCTGGTTCACGCCCATCTGGTCTGGGTGGCCAGAGGGGGAGGATGGTGGAAGGCAGCCCCCAGCTGCCGTGGCCTGTGCAGGGGGGCTTTTCAGGTGTGGGGGTGACTGGGTCAGTGAGAAGGGACTGATGAGGTATTGGTTGACCAAAGCCAGATGGGCGTCCAGCGGCCTCTTGGTGCCAGGGTTGGCAGGGGAGATGGAAGTGTAGATGGGAGAGGAGGGTGAATGTTGTGTTGATGAAGGCCCAGCAGTGGGTGCAGTGCCCACCGGTGGGCTGTGGTTCCACGGAGCCAAGAAGACAATGCCTGAGTGGGAAGACTCAGAGGAGGGAGACTGGAGGTCCTCTCTGCCTGGCTTCTTTGGCTGGGCAATTGAGTGGTTATGGGTTTGGGCCAGAGGTGGCGAAGGAGGCAGTGGCTTGAAGCTCAACAGCCCCTTGGAGACGGACTTGACATCATCCACAGAGACATCTGGGAGGGTGTTGACACTGACCTAGACAGCCATGCCAGTCTCCTCCAGGTCTACAGTATTCCTGGCCAAGCTGACAGTAGTAGAAGTGCTATGGCTGCCTGTGGATGAGACCGTGTCCCTATAGGAGACCACAGAGTAGGCATCACCAGCTGTGGGCCCTGGGCCCTACTGAGCCTTCATTGACTCAATTTCCCATCTCAGCACCAGGTGGCTGAATCGGTCCAGGGATTTGGAGGGACACAAGAAGGAGGTGGCTGCAGGATGTGGGTAGGAGGAGAGCTGCTGCTTTGTGGGGAGTTGAAGTCAGCATCATGTCAGCACGTATGGACTGCTGTTTGGAAGGTGAACTTGCTCTGTGGACTTTTGCCCAAATCACAATTTTTTTTTTGCAAAAAGAAAAGCAGAACCCACAAAACACCTTATAACATAGATAAACTTGGAGGACATTATGCTAAGTGAAATAAATCAATCACAGAAGGACAAATATTGTATTAGTCCACTATTGTAAAAAGTCACGGAAGGTTTATATATGGAAGGAAATTTTCTTTGTTAGTTACCAAGGATGGGAGGGGAGGGGAAGGAAGGGAAAATTGCTAGCTAGGTAAGGGACATGTATTGATTTGGATGAAGGGAAAGGCAATATACCACAAAAACAAATGATAACACAGTAACACTAAGGAAAAGGAAGACACAGAGAGGTGCACAAGAGGTATAGACAACAAAGATAAACACTTTTACATGCACAATACTGCATTATCAATAATAATAAACATTAATCTATACATAGGTACAAACCAAAACTAACTACTGTCGAGTCGTTTCTGACTCATAGTGACCCCCTCTTTGGGTTTCTGAGGCAGTATCCTTACGGAAGTAGATCGCCCAATCTTCCTTCTGAGGAGTGGCTGGTAGGTTTGAACCACCAGCCTTCTGGTTAGCAGTCAAATGCCTTAGGCACTACGCCACCAGAGCTCCCATACATAGGTAAAGGGGCTGAATGATCAGGTATGTTCAGGCAAAAGGGAATATACCCACTCACTCCTGTGGCTTCCAGCCAAACAGCAGATGAGAGTATAGGGTGAACATTTAAACCAGGTAGGTACACTTCTTAGAATAATCAACCATGGGAGATCATAAGGGCAGTATTTGCACAGGGAGATAGCTCAGAGGGCAGGAATACATGGGAAAGAATGACACAGGCATAAAGGGAGGAAGTGGGAAGAGGGCTGTTACATTGTGTGCATTGCAATCAATGTCATGAAACAAATGTGTATGAACTGCTATATGGAAAATGAATTTGCTCTGTAAACTTTCACCCAAATCACAATAAAAAATAATAAAAATAAATAAAATCATTTAAAAGGGAAGAAAATCATATGTACAGTGTCCTTACCTTGGTTGTTTTGTAGAGACTTTGTCTTGGCAATTCTACATGGATTTAACTGAAGGACTGATGTAAGTTCACATGCTCCATGGGCTGACCTGGTTTTCATTTTTATTGGCTCATGAGAAGTAGCACCCTAAACCAGAAATAATTATTAGCATCTGGATGAAATCACAAACAGCCATTTTAATAAAAAAATCTTTGAACACTTAACACAAACCTTCACATCATCAAAAAGATTCTCTGTCTCCAAACTTTCATGTGGATGTAAAGGGATTTTAAAGACAGGGTTTTCTTCTTTTATCTGTAATGGTGTTTTATTATCTGGAGAGGATTTACTTAACGACTGGAGAACGCATTCCTGTAAACAGGGATCCTCTGGTGAATCTCTGGCTAGCACACAGCTCCCATTCAAGGCATTACGACTTGAGGAAGAACTCTTTGGAATGGGCTTCAAAGCTTCATAAAGAGTCGCTTGCCTAAATCTGTTTTTAGAGACCTCACTTCCTTGGCTTTTTTCTTGACATTGAATAGCAGAAAACCGATCAGACAGATCTAGAGGTTTATCCATCATATAGTCCCCATTAGTGGAAAACTCACCATCCACTGGAAAAGGAAAAGCATTTTCTTTATCAAAAGCTTGAGGGCAGTTTATTTCATGTTCGCTTTCTTCTTCAGTTTTCTTCCTTTTGGATGTTCTGCTTCCCAGTGGTTTCAGAGGCACTAAATGTTTATCAATCATGGCATCTCCTACATGATCTTCACTATTCTGTGCACCTAAAGAGTCACTTGTATTTTTATACACCAGCATCTCTTTGTTAGAACATGAATGGGTAACGACCATGTTCACTTTAGACTCAAGATTCTGATGTGGGAAAAGGCCACTATCTTCAGATTTTGATCTAGTTTTCTCTGTTTTAGAATTAGATGTGTTGCTGAAAGGGGCTATTTTCAGATGTTTTTTTTTCCCAGTCTCTAGAAGAGAAGGAGACAAACTTGTATTCAAACGTAAACTATTTTTCACATTAGAGGTGGCTCCAAATACAGGAGATGATACCCGAGTAGTCAATTCTTCTTGCAGAGAAGTCTTTGAAGTAGAATCTGAAAATCTAAATACATGAGAGCGATAAAACTTATTTCCTACTAAAGAAATAGGGTGAACATTAAAAGTCAAACATAATGATAAACCTCTGTTAATACAGAATTATTAACAGTAAGGTCTTATCTAGCTACTAGAGGCAGAAGATGAATCAAAATTGAAGGCAGGGTATAGCTTCTGGTTTTGGCTGACAAGAAAACCCCAAGGAAAATGATACAGTAATTTTGTGTCTCAATTCCATGATATTCCTATAAAAATTTTTCCTAGGTAATTTAAATAACTTCAGTATATAAGAAACTCAGAATAAATTCCACTGGGAAACCAATTAATTTTGTAGTTATAAAATTTTGTAACACTCCAGAATTGAAACTAAATTAACTCCCAGCCTGCTTCTAGCTTCTAGACAGGTGTGAAGAGCCCTAGGTTTCAGTTTGTAGATGTGGGCTGGGTAAGAGCTCGGGCTCCAGAACTTGAGAGCTATGTGGGCTTACACAAGACATTTAACTTCTCTGGAGTTGTATTTTTGTTATCTATAACAAAAAATGGAGTAATAAAACCTATCTCAGTGAGTTACTATGATGACAGATTAAATGTGATACATGTATTAAAAGCAACAGTTCTTTTAAACAGCAAAATATTACATAAATATAGGTATTATTAGTTAATGAATATTCTGAAATTAGTAAAAAGGAGAGGTCACATAATGTTGGAAATTCACCTAAGCTTATAAATGCTTTTATACAATATCCAGTGTTGCACATACTTTAGAAATACAAACCCAGAAGAGATAACTTGGTCTTTAAAGGGATAGAGCAACAAGGCTAGGAACTAAGAACTGCTTGACTGAAGCGCAAAAAGTATATAAAAGTAATACCTACTAACTCTACCTTAAAGGATAGAAGCCTTCAATTGGTCACAAGCTGGGGAAAACATTTTAAAAAATAGAAATACAATCAGAATAACAAACTATATGCTGAGAGAGATAAAAGGTTTAATTATATGAACTCCTTGTAATGGGAGCTCATCAACAGCTTATTAAAAAGCAAAAAAAAAAAAAAAAAAAAATTACCAAAGTGCCCTAAATTACCTTAAACCATCTCCACTATTTCTTGTGGATTCCTCAAAAGGTTGTTTCTTGTGATCTCCTTCCAGACAGAGGGACAGGTCATCACCAAGAGGACTCTTAGGACCTTGAGATTCCTTCAGGAGTAAAATATGAGGCACATGCATAAGTGACTATTACTTAACTATAAAAAGGAATGAGGTCCTGATACCTGCTACAGCGTGGATGAACCTTAAAAACATTATGGAAAGTGAAAGAAGCCAGATACAAAAGATCACATATTGTGTAAAACCAAGGAAAAAAACAAAAAACAAAAAAAACCAGACTCACTGCCATTGAGTCAATTCCAACTCATAGTAACCTCTACTAGGTTTCCAAGGTGGTAAATCTTTATAGAATTAGATTGCCTCATCATCTTCCTGCAGAGCAGCTGGTGGGTTGGAAACTCTGACCTTCTGGTTAGTAGCTGAATGCATATTCTCTGTGCCACCAGAGCTCCTTTATATATTGTACAGTTCCATTTATATGAGATATCCAGAACAGATAAATCCATGGAGACAGAAAGCAGACTGGTGGTTGCTAGGGGCTAAAGGAAGGGGCGGGGGCCTTATGACTTAATAGATAGGATTTTTTCTGTTGGGGTGATAAAAGTGGTAGTTACAAAACATTGTGAATTTATTAAATGTCACTGCTTTGCATACTTTAAAATGCCTAACTTTATGTGATTTTACCACAATAATTAAAAAACAATGAAGTACATTTGTAGTTTTAAGAAAAAAAGCATCAGCCCAAAATCCATTAAATGGTGAAGAGAATACTTGTTTAATAAATGGTGCTGGCAAAACTGGAGATCCATTTGCAGAAAAATGAAACAAGATCTGTACCTCATACCATACAAAAAAATGAACTCCAGATGGATCAAAGACTTAAATGTGAAACCTAAAACTATACAGTTCCTCAAGGAAAATCTAGGGGCAAATTTAAGGGCCCTAATATATGGCATAAGTAGACTATCAAGTGTAACTCAAAATACACAAACAGCATAAGAGAAACCAGATGATTGGGACCTTCTAAAAATTAAATTTTTATGTGCTTCCAAAGACTTCTGCAAAAGAGTCAAAAGAGAACCTACAGATTGGGAAAAAATATTTGGTAATGACATATCTGACAAGGGACTTATCTCTAGAATTTACAGAAAACTCCAACACCTCAATAACAAAAAGACAAACAATCCAATTAAAAAATGGGCAAAAGACATGAATAGACACTTTACCAAGGATGACATTCAAGCAGCCAACAAACATATGAAGAAATGCTCATGATCATTAGCTATCAGAGAGATGCAGATCAAAACAAAAATGAGATACCATCTTGCTCCAGCAGTAGCAGCAAAGTTCAACAAGACAGAAAATAACAAATGCTGGCAAGGTTGTGGAGAGATTAGGACTCACACACTGCTGGTGGGACTGTAAAATGGTACAACCATTGTGGAAAGCAGTATGGTGATTCCTTCAAAAGTTGGAATTAGAAATACCATTTGACCCAGCCATTCCATTACTAGGTATATACCCTAAAGAAGTGAGAGCCATGACAAGAACAGATATATGCACACCCATGTTCATCACAGCACTATTGACAATAGCCAAAAGATGGAAACAACCTAGGTGTCCATCAACTGAGGAATGGATAACCAAACTATGGTACATACACACAATGGAATACTATGCAACACTAAAAAATAATGTGGAATCTGCAAAACACCGCATAACATGGATGAACTAGGAGGACGTTATGCTGAGTGAAATAAGTCAATCACAAAAGGACAAATATTGTATTAGTCCATTACTGTAAAAGTTAAGGAAAGGTTTATCTATTGGAGGACATTTTCTTTGTTGGTTACCAGGGGTGGGAGGGAAGGGGAGGGAATGCTGTTAGATAGATAGAGATAAATATTGATTTGGGTGAAGAGAAGGGCAATGTACCAAATGTGAATGACCAATATGGTGGCACTGAGGATGAGAAAGACAGAGTGAGGTACATGGGAGGTACAGATAAGAAAGATGAACCCTTTTGCACATATAGTACTGCATTGTCAGTGAAGGCAAACATGGGTATATGGGTGGATAGATGGGTGGACAGGCTGAACTATTAGGTGTATCTATGAAATGGGGAGTGTATCCAAGAAAATGTATAGGGTTGACAGACAATGGTCCTATAAATTTATATGAATGATCAGAATTCCCAGGTGTATAGTAGAGCTGACAAAGGGCAAGGTTGTCAAGGTCACTGCTTGGTCACAGCCAGCTACCCAGAGGGACCGAGTAGTTGAACCTGTGGGCTTGGGACCATAGCTGCAGAGGACAGCAAGCTCAACTGGCATAACATACTATATAAAACATTGTTCCACCTCCTACTTTGGCAAGTAGCAACTGAGATCTTAAAAGCTAGCAAGCTACCATCTAGATGCAATGATGGGTCTCTCCTCATCCAGAGCAAAGAAGAATGAAGAAACCCAAAATTCATGGAAACAATTAGTCCAAACAACTGGTACACCATCTGATCTGCAGCGTATATGACTATGAGACCAGAAGAACTAGATGGTGCCTGGCTACCACTGTCATCCACTTGGAAGGGGATTCATGTAGGAGATCTTGGATAGAGAGGGAGAACAATGTGGATAAAACTCAAAATCATTTGGAGAGAAAAAAAAAGGCGGGGGGACCAGGTTTGCTGGTCCGATAGAGCCTGGTAGAACCACTAAGACTATGGCCCCTAGCTGCCCTTCAGGTCTGGAATTGAACCCACACTCGTAGTTTCCAGCCAAAGGAAAGACAGACATATGAGTTGAATATTTACCTCAGATAGATCCATTCCTTGGAGAGAACAATCATGGAAGAAAGAAGGGCTACTTATGCACAGGGAGACAGCTCAGGGTCAGGAGTGCATGGAGGGATGGACACCGGGAAGAGGTAACTATGGGGAGGAAGTGTGAGGGGAGCTGTTGCATTGTGGTAAACTGTGATCAATGACATGAGAGAAAGTGTATGTAAACTGCTGTATGGAAAGTGACTTTGCCCTGAAAATCTTCACCCAAATCACAATACAAAAAGAAAAAAAAGCATCAATATTTTAATAGTTTAGTACTCCAATATTAAAAATCAAAATTATTAAGATTAAAGGAAAAGAATAGATAGATTTACGCTGACAGAAAATAAATTTACAATGATCTCCTTTAGAGATCAGTGCTTCTCAAATTTTAAGATGCATACTCATCAACAGGGGATCTTATTAAAATGCAAGCTCTCTTTCACTAGGTCTATGGTTGGGTCTGAGACTTTCATCTCTAATAACCTTCAGGGCAATGCAAATGCTGCTGGCCTATGGAACACATTTTGAGTACCAAGTGTTTAGATATTATATTAATTCCTGTAACACATCTGGTGTTTAACAGATAATAAACTACCAAAGGCATTTGACTGCTAACCAGAAGGCTGGCAGTTCAAACCCACCAGCCACTCCTAGGAAGGAAGGCTGGACAATCTACTTCTGTAGTGATACTGCATCAGAAACCCAACGAGGGATTTCTATGAATCAGATCCAACTCGACGGCAGTGAGTTTTGAGTTTGAGATGAACACATTTAAAGTTCAAAGGTTAAAAACTACTATCACTTTAAGATGGATATGAAACTTGAAAGGACAAAATTTCAAATGCAATGAGAAACCAATTCAATTTTTAGAAATTTAACAGCAAGACAATTTTATAACAGCACATATATAGTTACTGACTAAAGCAAAGTAACACTATTTTTAAATTGTATGATATACGTTTTCTTAAGACTGAAGAATTTAAGTCTTCTATTTCCTAGGGATCAATTAAGGAAAAGAGGAAATGTCCTCAATGTAAGATAATGAAAACAAAACAAAACAAAAACATGGGGTCAATTTTTGATGCAACCTCTAAAAAGTAGGTCTAACTGGATTGGCACTTACAAAAATAAAAGAGGACTAAAGTTATCTATGTAGGCCCAAGAATTCAGCATGTATTCCATAGCAAATTTCAGCTTAAAGGTTTTTTAAAAAAATCCAATAAATTTTGAGATCAACCCAAGGATTTAGACCTTTTAGATGTAATGAGGTGGGGAGGAATGTTGGCCAAATCCTATAACCATATCACTATCTTAATTTTTTTTTAATAATTGATTTTATTTATTTATTTTAAATTTTATTTTGATTTGGGTGAAGATTTACAGAGTAAATTCACTTTTCATACA